ATGAGTGCTTTAGTTTAGGAATTAAAAAATCCCACATCATTATTTTGACACTTTTGCCCGAATAAAACTTGAGTTAATTTATATATGATTTTTAAATGATGGAAGTCAAATTTATATATTTAAAATTTTATATCTTAATTCTTATCAACCCAATCAAAGTTTAATTGAAAGGATTATTTTTTAAAAATTGAAGTTATAAGTACAATTATATTATAAATGCAAATGATATGCATTCAAGTAATTGTTATAAAAAATATTATAAAATAATTAATAATTAAAATATATTTAAACGAAATTCATATATGATAGAATATAAATTAAAATAAAATATAAGTTTATATATACACACGATCTATAAATTATTTGAACAAACCTTTATTATTGAAGGATCGTGTAGGGAAAAAAATCTTTAACGTGGAATACGAAGCCTTGCATGCAATTTGTTTTCAATGTGGAATGGTATGCCACAGAGCTTCGGGTTGTCCGATAAGGTCTCCAGAAGATACTCAAACGAGGGAAGAAAGGGAGGATCCCCCCCCCCAACAGGAGGAACAACAAAATCAGGAGGAGGTTAAGGAACCAGAAAACATTCCGGCTAAAAAAGAATAGAACAAAGATCTCAATAAAGAAAGATTTGATCCATGGATGTTGGTGCAAAGGAAACAAAGGGGGACACGGGGAAATAGCAAGAATCAAGGGACCTCACAACAAGATAACCGGCACGGGAATAGATTTGCAGCACTGAATAACGCCGATATAGAGGAAATCAATACTGAGATAGAGATAATGGACCACGAACAAGAGAAAAATAGGGACACGTCATACACAAGATAAAACCAAGAGCTAGTAAGAATGAAGGAGGTAAGACCACAAACCAACCGGCTAAAACAGACCAGAGTGAAAGAAACGTGAAAAACACATGCAATGAGGCGAGAAGAAGATGGGGAAAGTAATGGCTATCCATCCAGAGAATGGAACTTTTAGACAAGAAGTAGATATACAAAGCAGTCACACAAATCCAAATCAGAGGGACATGAATATGGATATCCAATCGTTGGAAATCCAAACAGATGCAGAGCCCGTCTTACAGGAAATTCAAGTAGAAAATATGATCACCCAATGAAGCTCATTACGTGGAAGTGTAGGGGAGTTGGAAATTCTGAATTTTTTAGGAATTGCAGGGAACTAATCCGAGAAGAGAAACCAGTTATTATTTGCTTACTGGAAACTAAGGCGAAAGAAGATACTGGTAAACAGATCGAAAGAGAACTAAAGTTCGAAAATTACTTTGAAATTCCGGCACAAGGTCTTGTTGGAGGTTTGATCTTACTGTGGAATTCAAGCCAAATTGGGATTAAAATCATAAAAAATACTGAGCAAGTTATTCACCGTGAATTAAAAGATGAGGAAAAAGAATGGCTAGCTTCGTTCGCTTACGTCCAACCACACCATAATAAGAAAATCGAATTTTGGGAGGAACTCGGTCAATATGCAGATTCCACCAACAAACCATGGCTAGTGATCTAATGGTAAAAGATGTTCAACCAATCGTGTTTGTTGATGTGTTGTCAATAAACAGTTATTACCTTGTAATCTATTTATACTATTTGAAAATAAAATATACATAAAATATTGGTTGCAGATGAAACATCCTTGTCACATTCATTTGTTCGTTTTATGATTACCGAAAGCTTTGATTTTCAATGTGAGGTTGCAAATCATTTGGACCACCACAATTTCTATTGACATGTTGATTTATGAAACTAGTAGTCTAATCCAATTATCGGCTCCACCCTTTTGATTATATTCAACTGCATAACCTTTTTTGGTTTTGGGGTATACGGTAGAGGCAATGATATGCGTATCATTCAAGTTTTTTTTTCTTACATTTCTTATAAGTTAGTGTTTGTAATTTAAATTAATTTTTTGTTTAAAAATTATAATGTGATTCATTTGATAAAAAACATAAATTAAAAATAAAAATAATGATCCGTCAAAAGCTCTCAAATTGAAAGTATATATATATATATATATATGAATTATATGTACTCTTATAAAATTCTTTTATAATTTTGTCGCTGACACCAGTATGATGATTAAGAAGGTAATATTTATTCATAATTTTTTTAATCATTGACAACACACACATACTGTACAGATGTAGCTACTCAAACTTAGAACTTTAAAAAAGAATAACACTTATTTTAACCATTGAAATCGGCCGTTTATGCCATTGTCTTTAGGTTTTATCAATTATTTTCTATGCTTTCAGGACAATTAATGAAATTGTCTATACCTTAATTACTGTGTATAGATGTCTTTAAATTACCGGGTAATGAAAATATGGAAGTATATATGATATTTGGTAAAGAAAAGAAGTGTTGGGTATATGAAGGTGGGCTTCATTTCTCAGAGAAAGTGTGAACTCGTTATCATATGCAAAAACAAAGCTTAGAAGTCATTGTCGTCCAATTAATTTGTTTAGCAACTGTTGAGGATATTATATATGGCATTTTCCCGATGCTGAAATTGCATGCAACCTTTTCTTTGCTTTGTTAAATGCCGCCAAATGAGTTGTTGACGTGGACCAATATCTCATCCCCTGAATTGGAAATTTGTCATTTAGTCCCTTGATTTTTTTTTTGTAATAGAAAATTTTAACATGTTGGTTATAGGGCCAACAATCTCCTTTTTAGTCAGACTGTCAGTGGTATGGGCAGTCGAAGAACGGAAGTAAAAGTGGATGCAAGCCCACAATTGTAAGGCCTACGTGGCACATGGGTGCCCAACAATTTCTTTTTTTCCTCTACAATTTCGTTCCATGCTAACGTATTACATACAACGATTACGTTTAATCTTTTAATGTCGGATATAGAAAAAAATATTCATTACATGTTTATTTAATGTTAGGCACATGTTTTTTTTTTCAAATAAGAAAATAGATGGCATAGGTTATAGTCTCTATACAAAGACTGTTCAAATCCTTTAAAAAAAACCTTCCAATTAAATTTTCTCATGTATGTCGTGCACCTTTTAATGATATAAAATAACATTATACTAATGAGTTGCACTAAAGTATACATTAAAATCAAGTATGCCCATTAATAATAATATAAAGTTTTTGTAGGAGTTACGCTATGTAACTATATATTTATGTTTAAAGGGAAAATATTATAGTAAAACAAACTGATTATATGAAGTTTAATAAGATAATTTTCTAAACAAGTACTGAATTGATCAAAATTCAACATTTGAATATATATACATATATATATTCAATTTCGATGTATTTAAAATTTATAACTATATACGTCATTTTTTGTTGGTATTATAAATTTTATATTCCATAAGAATTTATTTTATGTAATTGATTACACACTATACAATATCATATATGGGTATAGCTAACTTGCTTTTTTCTCTCTCTCTCTCTCTCTCTCTTTTATATATAATAAATATGTTGTTGAGCCAAATTATTTGAAAATGCTATTTATAATGTGACCATTTAATTATTTATATAAGCAAGCTGACAAAGGTTAATATATTATGGCCTTTTTTAATTAATTAAAATAATAAATAAATGGATTGATTATACAATCATACACCAATCTCAGTTATTAATATTATTATATTTGGTTATATTGCAGATATTGTTTATATTATTTTTCTATAAATTAGAGTAAATATAATGTAGTATTTGTTCAACAATTCTTAATTATTTAACAATGAAGGCTTTTACTCCTGTAAACGCGATGCTCGAACATAAGATATCAATAGATAATAACAAATCCCTTAACCACTAAAAGATGTTGATTTTTTAGTACTAAGGGTTGTTTGTTTGCCGTAAAACCAATTACGAAATTGGTTTTCCCCGAAATCCCGTGTTTGTTTCATGTAATTCGTTTTCCGGAAAATGTTTTCCCGTGTTTGTTTCACGTAATTCATTTTCCGGAATGTAATTCATTTTCCTAATAACCGAATTTCCTTTGTATTTTCTGTAAAATGACTTACGTATTCATTTTCCGTAAGTCACTTTCTGAACTTTTCACTTTAAAGCAAAAATACTCAAAATAATTTTATTTTATTAATTTAATATTAATAAAATATTTTAATATCATTTTCATCAAAATATTATTTATAAAAATATTTAAAATATATTTATTAATATTTATAATAATATAATATTATATTTTTAATATTATATAAAATAATCAATTATATTATAATAATATAATATAAGATATTATATTTTTATTTTAATAATATATAATAATTTTTATATATTTAATAATGAATAATATTATATATATATTTAAATAATATTTTAGTAAAGATATTTAAAATATACTAATTAATATTTTTAAAATATAATATAACACTATTACTTTAATAAATAATTAATATAATTTATAATATTTTATTTCACTAAAATATACCAATATTAATATTTTTATTAATAAAATTATAAAAATAATATTTAATAATAAACAAATTATTTTAATATTTTAAAATAATAATATTAAGTTTTATGATAAATAATATTATTTATTATATTTAATATTTGTAATAAATAATTTTTAAAAACTCTTATAACTAGTGGAAAAAAGATTTAAATAACATCTTCCAAACATCATAAAACGTTTTCCAAATGTTTTCCAGAAATGTGTAGATCTAACTTGTTTTGTAAGAAATGGGGACAAATCATTTAGAACTGAGCAAATTCTACATGTAATGGATAAGTTGTCTACTGGTTAACGACAACTTTTGTATTTTACAGCAATTAATTAAAAGATGGTTCATCTTGTTCAATGGTAGATAGCCCTTGAAATAAAAAACTGATAGCTATTATTGCCGGTAAACTGATGTTGAATCCATTGACAATTGATAAAAGACACTGTAATTTTCTGCAAAATTTAACTGGTTCTTTCTAAAAAAAACGTCCAAGTTGTTGTATATCGACAATCACTCCAAGTAATAAATAATATACTATTAGGGTTACATGCCAGAAGAACAAAATACAAAAAAGAAAACAAAAACTTTCATTCTATATTCAATCGTGTCCAGACATGTTTCAATTGTTTCCGAACATATCCTTATATTTGTTTTATGTTCCTTTTTTGATGTTTTCTTCAACACTACCTGATATGTGTCTTTGTTGGATACGTATTTGGTATTGATATACATATTTGACACAGCTACGATGCCTCCGTATATATGTACATGCTACATACCACCACCTGAGGAACTCTGTATCGTAGACTGCAAGCTGAGGCCTAATTGAAGATCCAACGATTTACAGCTTCGCTTCGACGAAGAAGATGAAGGCTTGAAAACAGGCCCTTTTCCCCTCGATATGTGATGATCACCTTGTATTAACGTGAACATGGATGAATCTTGTTGGAAAGGGATCATCTGAGACTGCAAAGCGTGCCATTTCGACGGATGCGAGCCATTAACATACCCATCTTGCTTCAATTGCCCGAAACTTATCTGAGATTCTTTGCAAGGACCGGAATCGGCATCGGTACCGTAACCGGGAGCCGCATCGTGGTACAACAGGGAGCCGAGACCTAGACTGTTTCGGAAAGGTTGAAGATAACAGTTGAGGCTCGCTCTCTTGGCTTGAAGTTGCAACCTTTTCTTCTTTATCCTTTCTTTCTTGTGTGCATTTTGATGTCCTCCGAGCGCCTGCGAGTTCGCAAACTCCTTGAAACAATACTGACACTCGAATTTCCTGTCATCACCCTCCGCCGTCGTTGAACTTTTCTCTTTGGTTGTTTCCGTAGCCGAAGAATTCACACTCTCGTCTCGTTCAGCACAACCTTTCACGGAGCAACCTTCGTTAGTACTCGGATCGAGCTCGAACCCGAACAACCTAAGTTTTTTCTCCACACATGTATAATTCTCCATCTCTCTTGAAAATTATATGAAATAAAAGAGCCTATGACTATGAATTGCGTGGCCTGTCTACCTTTATATAGTAACTCTCCAATCTCTAAGGTTCTCCAACAATTCAAAGCATCTAAAGCTGGAATAATTTTATAATAATCATGAACAGCACAAACGTTAAAATGGGTCAATAAGAAAATAAATCAAAATAAAAAAGAAAAAGAAAAGTCAGATAAGAGAAGCCGTCTATAATTCAATAATATTGAAAAGAATTTCCTATTGGTTTAATAATAAAAATAAAGTTGTAGATACACTTCAAACTTTCTCAATCAACGAGGATTCATTGTGTTTATTTATTTTTTAAGTAAAACAATGAATTCTATGGTCTGTAAACCAATGTTAAAACAAGATTAAGGACAATCAATTAGGTGTAGCACTTGCACATTTAAAACAAATATTCCATTCTTAAAGATGAGATTATAATAATCAATGATTTACAAAAAAGTCAAAGAAAGAAGGGGACGTAATCTTCATGGTAGGAAATTGCAAGATATCCCAAATCCCCTAATGTGTCTTAAATCCCATAATATCCAAATGTTTTATTTATTTATTTATTTGATTAAACCAACTAATCTCTCAGTGGATTATGTATTAATTAATTATGCACTGCCTGTTCTCCAATCTCATCATAAAATATAGCTCCACTTCTATTTTTAATCCATCATATGATTGTTGGATTAATTTGACAATTTTAACTCTCTCTCTCTCTATATAATTTAATTAATGCGGTTTATTTAGAAATGAGATTATTCAGCACTTGCCGAAGCTTCCTTGTAACTATCCTTCTCTCCACCCTCAAGGGTATTTTATCAGTTTAAATTTGGAAAATGTTTCTTTATTATTTTTAAAGTTTAATCTTTATATTTTATTTTTGTTGTTGAAGTTTTTATTATTTTATTTAAAAATTTTAGTTCTCTCTCTAGTTTTTATTAAATTTCACTGATAATTGTTGACCTAATAACTATAAAAAATTAATTATTTCAATCATATGTATTTATAATTTTATTGATACCGTCCTTGAAAATTATGAACATATACAGCTCAATTAATAATAATTATGTTTTTATTTTTAAATATTAAGAATTAAATTGGTAAAAAATATAAATATAGAAGAATGAATAAATATTTTTTATAACAACAATATTAAAATTGGGGAGAATTCACCATTTTCAAATAAAAAAAAATTCTATAAATTTAATATCACAAAAAAATTAAAATGATACAAGAAAGTTGATTATTTAAAAAAAGAAATAACAAAATGAGGGAGGGAGAAGGTAATATGTTAAAATTGACCAAGTTTTAGTGAATGGTATTAGAATATAAAAAAAGAGTAGCTGCTAAACAAAGGAATATAAAGAAGTGGGCAATGATGTAAGCATAAATACTATACTGCATAGATGAGATCTGGCCATATCTTCTTAGAGCAGGCAAAGCCTATATTTTATACCAAAAGCCTATGCTTTTCAGGTGAATCAAGTCATCAACCTATATTATTATTCTATTTAACAATATAAAAGTCATTTGTGTTGGACAGTTGTTATTGTTTTGGACCCACTTTTGTTAGCTTTAGGGACAATTTTAGAAACTGTATTAGATTGTGTTGTTATTTCAATGTCTCCATTGCTTCATCTCTTATTGGTGGAGTAAAGCCCACCAATAGATCTCTCTCGTGATGCCCTAAATCCCCCACTCCCTTTATTTGTTATCTCAACCCCTATTCAAATTACTTTATCTTTTTTCTCTCTCAATCTCACTGCAGTAAATAAATTTTTAGAGGCGTTTTTACAGTTATATAACGGTGTTTTTAATCATCGTTAAAAATTTTTGTGGCTAAAAAATAAATGCCACAAAAAGTACTGTTAAAATAAACGCCGCAAAAGGTAGCGGAGTTTATCGTTCACAAACGCCGCTAAATGTTATAATATTTATTGACGTTATCTCTGAACGCCACTATTTATATTTTCTTTTGTGGTATTTTGTCCCAAAAATACTGCTCAATGTTCTGACATATAGTGACGTTTGTTCTAAAAAATATCGCTAAATGTTATGTCATATAGTGACATTTGTAAATGAAAAAAGCCGCTATTGACATATATTTGAAAAAAGCCATTTGTAAATAACTTTTAGTGACGTTTTAAAAAAAACGTCGGTATTGACTATGTATTTAGTGGCATTTTTATATAAACACCGCAAATTAAAACTAATTTTCAAATGTTGTTTTCTACTCTTTTGTTACCCAAATTTAAAATTTTAACATGTATCATTATCCAATAAACTTGATATCCATAACAACAAACTTGAAATACATAACAAGAAACTTGAAATCCATAATAATAAATCAAAGTTTACATTAACGTAAAATATAATGTAATTCAACATTGTTAACTAGAATAAACAATAATAATACCAAAGATGGTGGACTACGCGGTTGATTTTGTCGTATCACCTGCATCATAGCTTGAAGTTGATTTTGAAAGTCTTCACATTTTTTCTGATGTGCTGCTTCTCTATCTGATTCCTTTACTTCAGTTTCGACTCCATTTTGATATTCGTCGTTTACCCTTGACAAATCCATCTAACTCTTATCCATTTTGTATTTCTGGATTATTAATTTCAAATGTTAATTGCTAATATTATAGAGAAAGTAAGCAACTAAACATAAGCATTACCTTTAATTTCACAATTGAGAACATATCACAACAAACTAAAACTGACAACCGATATATCAAATAATTATCAAATAAATTATGACAAAAACAAAATTCTTTGTTTTGGTGCTATAGTTAGACACTTAACGATAAAGTGATCAAAATGAGAGAAATTTGAAAGTTTAGTGATGAAATTATTGTTCTTTAATTGAACGACCAAAACAGAAACACAAACAACATTGAATGATCAAAATAGAAACATATGTAAAGTTGAGTGACATAAAAAGTAGTTCACCGTTACTTTATTTGTCATGCATCTAGCACCGGAGTATTAAATCATAAACTAGCAAGGGAATAGGAACACATGTAAAGGAGTTGGAATATACAGGACTACAACATGCAACGAAAATTAAAAAACTCACCCCCAGGCAAGTAGTAGGACTTTCTGGTAGAAAACTGTCGATAATTAAGAGTGTGCCAAACTGTAATGTATTAGAAGCAGACATTAATTTGACATTTATTTAAGAAACGGTGGAAAACATTCAAACTGAAAAACCATAGGGTCTACCTTAAAGCCCAAAGCTGAAGATATGATGCAATGTTCGAGACAGCACCAAGAACAAACTAAATGGAATGTATCATTTGGTGCACAAAAACCTCAGTAAAGTTGAACTCCTCATGATGTTCTTGTGCAAAATCAGGTTCGACATCAGGACTAAACTCAGAGGAGATAAGCATGCCATAGTTGCGACCTTGAAATCTCTAAAACATATTTAAGGAAATATATCACATAATTAACAAGATATTCATGTGAACTCCTCTATATTTATTCTAGGGTAAACCTCAGTAAAGAAGGAATATTACAGAATTATAGGATAAATATTAGAGTTGATATACATTGTATTTAATGTAAGAGATTGCATATTGTATGACCTTTATACTTGTATATATACCAAGTTTGATGATAAAATACAAGAAAATATTCTCTTCATACTATTTATACAGAAAGAAAGGAAAATTAGCAACATGGTACCTCAGAATGAAGCTTCTTTAAAATAAAAGATTTAGGAAAAAACATCCATGGAATTGCAACTAATGCCAAAACTAGCAATGCAATCTGCACAAGTTAAGCAACAATAGACCGCTGTGAAGAGTAGAAAAACAACAACATGGCAAATAACAGTATCCAACAGTAACCAGAAGAGACAAAATCACACCTGAAGTGGTCTCTAGCACCAAAACAAGTCATTATCACCAAGATCATCAGTGGGACTCAAAACACCGCTAAACAACAAAAAAGAGCCACCCTGACAAGAGTCTCAAACCCTTCCACCAAGAACCAAAACAGATCGCCCAACCAAAACTATGAACTCTAAATTAAGAGTATGAAATTTAAGATTTCCAAACAAAGCTTCACAGACCACATTTCCAGGTTTTAGTGCCCTGTTTGATTGCTGGAATTCACCTGACCAAAGCACAGCAACGATGAATGCAGGAATCGACACTGCAGCAACGAGCAAAAAAAAAAACATCACCAAGCAACTAGCACAGAACTACACCAAAACTAAGCCAAAGATCACCCAAATAGACAGCCTAGTAACATATCCAGTAGAGAATAAAACCACCGACAGCCAGACATTCAAAATACTACCATTCTTGAAAAGATCAAGCTTTAACAAAATGTTAGGAAGAAATTACCAGTGGAAGTTAAGACTTGTTCGATATTTGCATGGTTTTATGGTGTTTCCATGAACTTTTCTTACATCATGATGAAGAGAAAACAACCACTTACCCTTAACACAGAAGAACCTTTGGTTCAAAAACGAGTGAACAACATCAAAAGAAACCTAAATCCAGACGAAAGCCCCTCCCAAACCTCCTTACTTCTATAAAAGTTCTAAATTTGGACACAACATCACCCCAAAAAATTTACGAACCAAGAAATCATCAAGCATTTCCTTCCTCGACTCCTGAAACTATAACGTAACCACTTTTTTCTTTCTAACCAACAAATGTAGTGCCAGAAGCTATGCTTCCGCCTCGTGACCTCTAGAGTTCCACAAAACAATCATCAAGTAGATTCCACCTCCGAATCGACCCAGACTTTAACACCAAAAATCGATTAGGCCCCTACTCAAGAAAGGCTAGCTCTTTGACTACTTCCAATTCTTCACCTTGCACGTGAATCCCTAATTTCCCCCTCAAAGCCAAGCTCTTCTCCGCCTCCTTTACAACTGCATGCCAATTCTCCCTTATATCCAAATCAGAAATTGGCCTCCCCGATAATTCCGAGATCTCTAAATCTCGAACCTTCAACTTGCTTCTTTCCATCGATCGGTTCCTCCTTCTCAA